CACGCTACTAAGCAGGGCGTGAGTACAGCTTGGTTTTTGGTGGCAGTGGAAAAACTCCATAAAACTCTGCACTGATGAGCTGAAAAGCAAAGATCACCTGTTACTCGTAGGTCAGTCACATTGTTTGCCATTTTAAAACCGTACGTCATCGCCTGGAAATCCTCCTGTGAAACATAAAAGATTTTAGATGGTTAAACAACCACAAAGACTGGAAGGCTGCAATGCTTATAGCAGGGTTTCTTAACCCAGTCCACTGGGACCCTCAGTCCGTGTTTAAGTTCCCTCCCAGCTCCTGTAAATGTGGACTGTCTGGCAGGGAGCAAAAACACGGACTGTCTGGCAGGGAGCAAAAACACGGACTGTCTGGCAGGGAGCAAAAACACGGACTGTCTGGCAGGGAGCAAAAACACGGACTGTCTGGGGGTCTCCGAGGACTAGATTGAGAAACACTAGCCTAGAGGATTAGACAGCCTGCTTAGCAACTACAGAATGTAAAGTATACATTTTATATAACAATAAACTCAAACAATCAATACTGCTGTACTTCTTCTGTACATCTTCTATACTCAGATAAAGAACAGTGGATCAGAGACTGAAATAAACTTGCATAACAGAATGAATCCAGGCATGAATTAAACAGCTCCTCCGTAAGCCCAATCAATAGAAGCTGTGCTGTCGTAAGCCAACCAATGGGTAATTTTAGCGTTTGCCTTGTATTAATATTAGCATTATATAATGAGACCAGAACTGAGGTGACATATAGACAAGGGGAGCATGAGGCTGATGTGAGGCTGAGCATGCAGGAAGCAGCAGGAGATGGTGATGTCTTGGCATCAGTGGAGCCAGAACAGGCAGGTGGCCTCAAAAGGGGAATCAGGAATGACGGTGCCAGGATTCTCTCTGGATATACCTCCTCAAACACGGCGGCCTTGTTGACCTTCTCACGGGCAATGTCGCAGACCTTCAAGATACCCAGAGCGAAAGCCTTCATGGCCGAATCCTGGATGAGGTCGGGGTTGTGGACATACAGGCAGGTGAACACCGTCTGAGCCAGGGAGTGGCCCTCCAGCCATGTGATCTGTAGTGACCAATAGCATCTCAGCAATAATGTTCTAGACAGTTCCTGACTCTCCACCAACAGGGCAGAAAGTCAGACCACAAGCATAAATCATCAAACGAAATTACATTTATAATTATGCAGTCGGCCCAGGGTATCCATGGGGGATTGATTCCAGGACCCCCCCCTAGATACCGAAGCTGCTTATATAAAACAGCGTATTATTTGCATATGATCTATGCATCCTCCTGTATCCATCTCTAGATTAATTATAATACCTAATTCAATGTAAATAGCTTTAATGCTGCATTGTTTAGGGAATAATAAGAAAAAAAGTCTGTACCTGGTCACAGGCTACGGCAGGGTATGGCTACACATCACTTCATTCACATGGATTCAGCGCCGTGCTCAAAGGGCAGCAAATTCATGTTTTTGCTTTTGGGACTTTCTGGAATTTCTTTCTTTAAATCTTTACATTTTTTTTGATCCACAGTTGGTTGAACGTGCAGATAGGGAAGCCGCGGATACAGAGGGCCGATTGCAATATAAAATAACACACAGAAACACTAACCAGACAACAGAAGCAGGTGTCCATAATCCCGATGAGTTCGGGCAGACTCAGATCGCTCACTCGGATGGCTCCATCCTATTGAAGAAGTGAGGAATTTGTTTAGGCATTTCCTGACACCTGCTTTGATTTCTATAGGGAAGTAAAATTTGACCTAACAGATGGTGAAAGTTTGTGTTCTGTCATCCACATAAAAAATATGCAAGGTCGTCATAGCTAAGGTATACCAAACAAAAACTGGGACTAAAATGGCTTAAAATAGACCATCAGTGGCATATATACTCTAGAAATATGTATTTAAAAAACATAACAAATGTGAAATTAAATGCACGAAAATAGTAAAGAAAATCATTTGTTGTGGCTATCATCCACTTTTCAAAGTAACTTCAGTGGCTGCCACACCTTGACTGCTTGCTCAAAGTTCAGGACCTTCCTGTTGACCTGGTTCCCAATCATGCCGGCATCCATCTTGGGATCCATCATCTCAATGGCGGACATGGCTTCAAAGAGGCCGAAGCTGCCAGTGAGCAGAGGCACGAGCTTTAACTCTGATGTCTATCCACCAGCAGACACTGTCTACAAAAGGCCAACACCTGCCTCCCAATGCATTTATTCAACTAAGACATATGATTGGAAAAACAAAGACTGGATCCTAAGAGCAACCATCTGCTCAGCTTGCCTTTGGGTAGTCTCCAGCCCAGAGTACGTTCTTTGCCAAGAAAAGACTGCTGACTGTTCATGTACTTTATCAATGCATGATTAATTGAAACTGAGCAAGATGGACTGAACACAAGTTACATGGTCACACCTGGATATGTGAGATTCAGAGTACTCACAGTTTGTCATGAAGAAGCTCCCCAAGATTGAGCTCTGGACAAAAAAAACAAATAGAATTCAAACAACGTACTGTCAAATCCACTGAACACAAAACAATCACGTTATGGTGCAGTATGACACTTACATAAAGACCATCGATAACTGTCAGGATGTCAGGCGATGGGAACTCTAATGATTTGAGGGCTGCATCAGCGTTTCCATTTTGGGAAATGAAAGCAAGTACGGGATGCCAGAAAAAACTAAGCTGGGAAGCTGCTGGAATTATTTTGCTCTGATGTTCAGTTTTAAGAAACAGCAAAGAATTGATATTCTGAAGAGCATTTCCCACGGGAAAGCCACATTCAGGTCACTGCCACTACAACACAAGTCCCCCTGAGCAGCCATTAGCTTACACAAACAGAGCAGCATAAAGAGGAACCCTCCAGTCAAACGATCCTATACCTTTACACCAGCTGCTAACCGTCACCACCCTTAAACCGCTTTATACCTTTGCAGGCCCCTTTGAAGTCCTGAGTGATGTCCACCCAGTTTGCATTGTTCTTCATTTTTTCTGGGATACCCAGTCCCCAGCCAGCTTCATCCTCCTCCATCGATGACTTCATCACCATGGCGAGAGCTGGAAACAGATCCATCAAGTTCACTGGCAAAACAGGAACTAGTATTTCTGACCGACAAGAAGACCACCGTCAGGAGGTGAAAAGCAACAAAGAATTTTGTATCAACAAAGCGAAGTTTAATATAACCCAGATGCATTATTTTATATACGAGTTGACATTCTAACAGAACAATAAAGAAATTACAATTTACAAATAAGAATTTCTATGTAGGGCAGCACGGTGGCGCAGTGGTTAGCACGGCTGCCTCACAGGAAAAAGGTGCAGGGTTTGATCCCGGGTCCTTTCTGTGTGGAGTTTGCACACGCTCCCTGTGTTCGTATGGGTTTCGTATGGGCTCTGGTTTCCTCCCACAGTCAAAAAGCAAGCAGGGTAGGTTGATTGGTGAGTCTAAATTGGCCCTGCGAGTGTGTGCACCCTGTGGTGTGTTGGCTCCCGCCCAGGGTTGGTTCCCAGGATAGGCTCCAGGCCCCCCGCCACCCCAGTGGGGAATAAGCGGTCACGGTAATGGATGGATGAATTTCTATTAAAAAAAAATACTGTTGTCAGGAATGAATTTAAATGATTGTAACACTTTACATTAACTGCACCTCCACAATGTATTCATAGAACATTCAACGCACCTTCATAATGCATTCATAGAACATTCAACGCACCTTCATAATGCATTTACCATTCATAAGATGTAAGTATACTTTAACATCCTAACATACTGTAACAGTTTTATATATACTTTAATAACACAAATTATGATTACACAATGTCGAATTTTGTTATTATCATATAACGTTTGTTATAAATATATATTAAAACTGTTAAGGTATTGTTAGGATGTTAAGATATACTTACATGCTACAAATTATGAATGTTCAATGACTGCGTTATGTAGGTGCACTTAATGTTCTATGAATACATTATACAGGCAATATGAAGGAGAAGTTAATGTAAAGGGTTACCAAATAATTTTTGTGGTACAGCAGAAACAAATGGACTGTTATTTTTAACACCCGACAAAACCAAAGAAAAAAGTGTAAATGTTTCACTACGGCGGAATATAGGAATAACTAGATACTGTATGAATGTATATTGCATGAAAATGTGAAAAGGTAATTATATAAAACTTTAAAGCCGGGTATTTGGCAGTTGTTATAGAAATATCGTGAAACTACTTGTATGTTTACAATCCAACTAAGGAAATGTTATTAGCGAAGACAAGACTGATATCAATATCTAAAGGATGCAAGTTTGCATCTTTACAAAGTCTGTTGCAAAGAAATACCGCAACAACTGACAGCTTAGTAGCTATTAATTTGGTGCGAGCACGCGGTCCTTTCCCAAGAACTGTAAGGAGAAAACAGAGAAATGAAGCAGACTTGAATGCTATAAACCAGATTACCTAACCTGATTATTTTATCATTGTAAAACACTTACTGTTAACTCACGGTTCTCAGAATAATCTAACAGCTAATTAACTGACCAGTCTAATGCGACAGCCAACAGGATGATGTTCGTGGTGCTATTGCTACTGTTCCAATGGTTTGACGAAACGATAAGAATCACTGTGTTTTTACGTACGACATAAATAGGATAAATATATGCGATCAATAACACAATAAATATTCGTATACACACCAAGCTAGCTGTTCTGTAGCTGCTTCGACCCCTTCTACAATCCACAGTACAACAAACGACAGGCACTATGAGGCAAGAAAATAATCTACCATAGTTTAGTGCATTGTGGGAGTCGTTGTGCCCAATACCACAAACAATATGTTAACTGAACGGTAGAAATAGCACCCGTGAACATCTTTTCCCATAATCCCCAGACAGTACGTCACATTTAAGCGCCGAGAAATTGTAACTTTGAAACCACATATTCCATAATTCATTAGTGACCAAAGTCTCGCGTTGATATGTATTGACAGCGAGCGTTCTTGGAATGGGAGTGTTTGTATCGTAACATCGCGGCAGTTTCTTGTGTACGGTGGGCGAAAACTCTACCTTTAATGTGACGGTACTTCCTTCCTTCCCTCCCTATGCGGTTCGTATGCATCCCTGCTTTACTCGTCTGCACAGTCGTGTGTTTACTGATTTCTGTCTGACTGAGCTTGATGGGCAGCTGGGTGAAATGCCAAGCAGGTACAGCCCTTGCTATGCTCCCGAGCTAGTGAGCCTAAGTTACCCTCAGATTGCGGTGATTGCGTGTCAGGACGACCTGACGGCGAATTTTCGGGCCCGGCTGAGGTGACAGTTTATCCGCCAACTCCTTCACTTACCAGAGGCGTAACGCTTAGTGGCGCTCAAGGCATTTGGGGACATTTAAACGGGCATTTAAGCGGCTCGGTTTCTGAAATGCAAAGCGGGAATTACGTGGACTCGTTGTTTTTCTGCTGCCTGAAGGCTTGAAACAGTCACGACTTTTATTGTTGGTTTATAAAAAATGTTGTTATTTTTGGGTTGCTTGATATTTCGAGCAGCAGGCATCGTGGTCAGTTTCAGAAGCTGTAATATTCCCAAAACACGAATGAATACAAATATGCAAATATTTCGATAAATATTTCCAAAAAACAGTTTAATGTGGGTTTTGGAAATCAAATGGCTATCTGTATAGTGTAATGCACGGTATATTTACTAAATGTTGTGTTCATCCGCGAAACTACTTAAAAACAACGTTCTTACGTTTAAATCTGGACTTGAAATTAATTTCTGCAAATATGTTTTAATTAACTAAAATTAAGCAGTCTATATTGTGTCTAATTACTTCCTTTTTCGGGGATTCAAGTAAAACGCAATGCTGTTGTTATTTTGCTATTAGAATTTTGGCTGACTATGGCATTTAAAAAAAGTGACAGCTGTGAACAGTTCCAAAATTTGGTATCCCTCTCAGTAAATATAAATGAGTTATTGATGTCACAGTGAGATTCGGTTTGTTTGTTTATCAGATATTCGTAAATCCTCGTCATTCGTTAATCCTGTGAAGTTATGTTTGTGAGGAAAAAAGTTAGCAATTATCTAGATTTCGTCACGAATGTTTAATAAAATGTGAACTAATTTTCATTTAAGTCAAAATAATGAATTAAGACAGATATTTAACAAACTAAGCAGACCACATCTTACACTGCCATGTTCAACAAACAAGTTAAACAGTAATGGTCATTGATCGTAAAAAGTATGTGATCTCCTATTGGCTTTATTGGCAACAACCTCCAGCAAATGCTTTCTTTAGCTGCTTGTCAGACCTGTGTAATGGTTAGGAGGTATTTTGGACCATTCCTGTATATGAAACTGTGATGTATATTTTTGAGATATCCTGCTTGAAAGGCCTGCTTCATTTCACACCACAGCATTGTAATGGGAATGAGGTCAGGACTCTGACTTGTCTGTTGTAAATTAAAGCTGCCTGGCTGTTGACTAGCTACTGATACCCCGCTGCAGAATTTTCTCATACATCTTGGAATCCTTCCAGGCTCTGAGGCCGCAAAGTGACCCCACACCATTACACTCCCTCCACCATCCTACTCCCTCCACCTTCCTGTAGTTAGGATGAGGTTTTGGTGCTGGTACCAAACATTGTTCCAGTAGTGCTGCGGGCCTTTTGGCTGGCAGCAGTGTTTCTTTTTGGCAAGAGTGATGGTCTCTGTGGTAACTCCCCACCCCCACCCCCCAAAACAACACTCCTGCTCAGTATTATTCTTATGTAATCTCATGCCTACAGACATTTTAATGTACAAGACATGCTTGATGATCCTTAGCTGTCACCCTAGAGTGCTTTTACATTTCTTGAGGGCTCTACGTTTTGACCTTGCGGGAGAACAGCAACTGTGCTGAATTGCTTCCATTTTTGAGCTATCTGCCTGACCATGGGCTGATATTAGAGATCCTTTTGTGACCCTGTCCTACCTTGTCAGCCTCAACAGCTCTTCTTTCGAGGTCTGCTGACAACTTTTTTGATCAGGACGAATTTCACTTGAACAGAATTCTGTTCTGAATAGCAAACTACCAAAACTCCAGTTACCCTCTTATGAAGTCAGGTTCACAAACCTTTTCATCAGTTAACTTGTTTTAAATTATTTGTTCGATAAAGATATGGCGGTGTAAGGTGTCGTGTGTGTTTGTTAAATAACTGTCTTTGTTATTATGACTTAGATAAAAATAAGGTCACATTTTAAGAGCTAGTCATACAGAAGTTCAGATAACCCCAATGAGTTTGTAAAACTTTTCTCACAACTGTACCAGTAACAAGTGAAATTTAGATATATGTTGGACCATCTTACTAAATGTCCAGGAGATGGTGGTGATAATGTGTGGTGTTCTCGTAAAGTGTTTAACTGTTTGATTTTTTTGCAGGCCGTAAGCGATGGCGAAGTGATCGTAGGGAGACATGAATAAGCCCAAAATGACTACCGAAAAAGGGTAAGAACTGTATTTCCCCTCATCGTCTTACAGTAAGTGGCAGTGGATTCTGCGGTGTGCTGTAACGTTTCAGGTACAGGTGTATATGGGAATGGTTCAAGTACAAGGCTGTGCAGGAACGGTTCAGCTACAGGTGTGTGCGGGAATGGTTCAGGTATGGGTGTGTGCAGGAACAGTTAAGGTACAGGTGTGTGCAGGAACAGTTAAGGTACAGGTGTGTGCAGGAACAGTTAAGGTACAGGTGTGTGCAGGAACAGTTAAGGTACAGGTGTGTGCAGTTGTGCGACCCGCCAGTCCACAGTAACATAGGCTGTGCATTTAAGTGCAAAGCTTGCACTCCGATTGTGTTGTCTCATTAATTTTTTTCCAGTGTGTGTATAAGTCTGCTTGGCTGCCTTTTTGTGTCTTTTAGTTGCTACTGTATACCGCTGCCCAGCTTCTCAGCACAGACACCATTGCAACACTGATGCTCTCTGTTAGCAGTTTTTTTGAGGGAATTTTGAATTTTGCATACAAAATTATCAATGCCAAATCCCGCAGAATATTGAGAATATCAGGCAGCGGAGGTTCAGGTCACACGTGTACTGCAGTCAGCATGGCCATATTGTTGGGACTGTACCGCATGCACATTTCCTATTGGAGGATTTTCTGGCACTGTTGGTGAGGGGCTGTTCAGTCAGTAAGGACATTTCTTATTGGATGATTTTCTGGCACTGTTGGTGAGGGGCTGTTCAGTCAGTAAGGACATTTCCTATTGGAGGATTTTCTGGCACTGTTGGTAAGGGGCTGTTCAGTCAGTAAGGTCGGCGGGTCTGTGGTAGCTGCTGACCTACTCAGATTGGGTACACCAAGCCAAGTCCCACCCCACTCTCTGTAGTTCCTCTCTGTGTAAACCTTCCAAAGTTGATTCAGTCCATGCTCAAAGCCGACTCACTGCTCGCCTTGCCTGCTTTGCTCCTAAGGCTTTGTGTTGCAGTAACAACCTTTTAAATACACTCTGAGCACAAGAAGCACAGACGGGATTTGAAGTTTATTTGAAGGTGGTTTCATGCCAACGTGGCCATGTGCCATGAGCGAGTCGTTGAGGAATCTGGAGCGTTAGTTTATTACTCATGTAAACATTTTTCCTTAGTAAGTGATTTATTATGATTATTAGTTTCTTTGGCACTCGATTTGCTTAACCTCCCCCCCTCCCCCCCCCATCTTGTAAAATGACAGTTTGTTGAATTGCCAGGGAGGCTTCAAGGCTGGCTGTTGGGGGGGGTGTTTGTTTGCAGTCGGTCTGGGAGCGTTTGGATGCCTGAGCTGCATCAGGCACGCCTGCATTCCTGCCATGTGTACATTTTCATTTCCCCTGCCATAAATAATTTAACAGCACATGCACGGTAGCCGTCCCTGTCAGCCATCAGCGCCTAGTGTGGAACAGTACATGAAGCCAAGCTTTGCTTGGGTATGAGTTGTTTCTCTGAAATATGGTGTCATGTGACCGCCCTAGGGCCGCGCAGCCTCTGGGGGCGTCACGCACTAGCGTCTGCAGCTCCACTACAGGGGGGCAGCCTGTTTAAGAGGTGAAGTAAGCGCCTTCAATATGATGGGACATTTTTTTTACTTGTATTGGATCCTGGAGACTCATTAGGAATTCGAAACACGAGCTGCCGAACAAGTCTCCAAATCCTACCACCCACACCTATTGTCAGATATCTGCATAACACACTCAAGGGCAGAGATGGGAGCTTTGATAACCCAGAGTGGGCGGGATAATAGTATGCTGTCAGTCACAGAGTGGACACATCTTATTGGTTCCTAATCGTTAGACACCAATGAATGACAGACAGCACATGGCAGGAGCTTCGGAGCTTTCGCTGTGATGTGATTAGTTAAGGAAGTTTCCATGCTGACCTTGGAGTTATCTGAGCACAGCAAGGTTAAGGAACCCAAACACTTGGATAACAAGTTAGACTGGTCGCCTTGTCCCTGTTTGTGTGGCCATGTTTGATGTTTTTGCTTCTGAAATTCAGTGAGAGTTACACTTTACCTAAAGGCCGTTACTGGGGGGGGGTGTGGGAATAATGGAAGCCAAAAATGGGGGGCTAAATGCAGAGTGTCTTAATTTGGAAGCAGATCAGCTGTTAAATGTTTGATTGTGAGATAAAAGGAGAGCAGGTTGCTCCGGGGTTTGGGGATGGAATCAATACGCAGGTTTCTGCATAATTTAGCAAGGAATCAGCCAGCGGACTTGGGAAAGTGGACGGTGTAGGGAGAACGACAAAGTCGCTCGGCCATGTGGGGAAGGATGTCAGGGATTGCCTCTCTCAAAGGTGCCGTTTTCTTTTGTTTTGGCCAGCGACCCCTTCATCATACGAAAGGGGCAGGTAGGTGTAGGGGGCAGGAAGTAGAAGCGCCGGCAACATAAACACTGCCGTATTACTCTGCATTCCGCTTAATACGCAGGTGGCCTTTGACCGTCACATATCAGTGTTGTAGTTAAATACCATCCCCTCATTCTTTATGGAACAAAACAATGACGTCAATGCCAGCACAGACACTGATATCATAATTGTACTGACTAATTTGCCTACCAATGGGATTAATTTTTAACGTCTGTCAGTATCTAGTGACTAGATTGGCAAAATAAATCTGGATTTAATTCCATTAATAAGCAGTGTTTCCCATCCTCTCACTCACACACACACACACACACACACACACACACACACACAGAACCCCGACTCTCTGGCCTGCAGACAGTGATGGGTTATTTTCGGACGTTTGGAGTGCCTCGGATTCCTGGCCCTCTCCATGTCTCCCTCGGCTGTATTACGTATTTATGAGACGGCCGTCATTCAGGTTGTGTCCTCGCCTTAAGACACCGTGGGTTGTTTGATGCAGGACGCTGCCCTCCATGGCCCTCAGTTCTCGGGGTTCTCACAGGAGCTGTGCCCCCTGTGTGGGGGAGGCTGGGGGCCAGCCGGAGGCAGCTCCAGCGTGACAGGCTGTTATTTACGGAAGCCTCACGTGCTGCTGGCATTAATGAAGGCTTCAGCAAAAATATAGCACCAGTGTTCCCCTCTGGGTCGTCTGAATTTAGCCGCTATCAGTTTGACAAGGGTATTTTGGGGGGGCAGCGGGAGGTAACGACTGGCATGACCCTGCCACATAAGCAGACAGAGCCGTGTTTACACACAGATGGGTACCAGTGTCCATCACACTCTGCCCTGTGCCCCTTTAAGGGCACGTGGGCAGTTATGTTGATAATGGGTCTCGGTCACACTGAGCAAACTGCAGGGTTCACAGTGTGGCAGCAGTGGGTGTTTCCTCTGGTTGCTCTGGGTTATCCATCAGCAGGCAGCATCTGTGGCCCCCAGTGGTCTGGGCTGGGCTCACGGGCCCAGAGGGGGCGTGTCCTCATAAACGGAGGTGGGGAAGGGTGATTAATGCTGATTGGACCCTCTGGTGTGGCAGGGCTGTCAGTGCTTTCAGGACCCCCCCAATGGGGCAGGGTGGGGTGATGTGTATCGTACCCCCCACTGGTGTGGGGCGGGGCAGTTGGTGGGGATTGGACTGATGAACTGTCACGTCAGACACTGGGTCTGTGTGTCTCTCTTTATCTGCAGTCTCCGTCTCTTCTCTCCCCAGAGTTCCCAGTAACTCGCGGGTCGTCATGCTCCTGGGCCAGCTGGAGAGGATGAATGGGGAGGCTGTGCCGGGTGATGCCGAGATGGCTCGACACGTCACTGGCAAAATCCTCCACCTCATCCAGACGCAAGGTACCCACAATGCTTTGCCTTGGCCCCCCTGTCCGCAGTTCCCGAAAGCACGGTTGATAAGCCCATCTGCCTCCCTTTAATCCCCTGTGATGTATTGTGGCCCCGCCTGCAGTAGATGGCGATCCCATCTTAGCTGGTGCTAAGATTGCGGTCCGGGAACCGGGTTTCCCCCCCCAGCCTGTCCCGGGGGAATGCTGCTAAATCCCCCGACAGCCAGCGCATCTGTCTGAAGCCAGACGTTTCTTCACTCATAATCACAGTTGGCCTTCAGTAACTCTTTGATCAGGAAACCTTTATTTTAGATTTGATGTTAATGTAAAATAATGCCCAACAAGGACTGATGAGCAAAGATTTGAACTCTGTCGACTATGAAGTGTGGGGACTGTTACCTGGGCTAAAAATGCACATATTAGTCGCTGTTCTTTGAGTTCTGTTGAGATAGGGTTGCAAACCGCACACCGCCATGCAGGCAGGGTTGTGACTGTGAAAGGCCATCGGGACAGAAAACGAGAGAAAATACGTCTCCACACGGCCCTTACCTATGGAGCATTGGCATTAAAATATGCGTTTAGAAATTGGTGGTGACATTAAATTGGGTCAACACAGTACAAATGTACATGTTAAAAAGGTCTTTCAGTATTAAGATTTACTGAGGCTAATATTTTTCCATTTAGGGGCAAATGGTTCAGTCTGTAATGCATTATTAATTCTTGCTATATCGTGTCTCGTGTTGTCTCGTTTTCTTATTACCGCATGATAACATTTTAGTTTTTAATCACAACCACTGATACTCAACATTTGTAAAAATTTCAACAAGGAGGTTCCTTGTTTTGTCTGATATGCTGAATAATATGTCTGAATTGGAACAAGTGAAATAAAAGGTAACAATCTGTGTAAATTTACCATAAAGTTGTTAAAGTTTGTGCAAAGAGACAAATAATTTACGCATGCCATTAAAATTGGCCTGATGTGACATAAGCACGATATATGCATTATAATTGTGTCACAACAGAATGAAATAAAACGTTATCTTGAAAGGTACCCAACCTGTTATAGAATGTATAAAGTTGAAATATTAGATGCTATAAACAAAAAAGGTGCGTGCGTGTGTGCGTGGTCAGTGTCAATGTCATTATTATTGCAGATGTGTGGTCTTGTGGACAATGCTAAAAGGAATATTTTTATATATAACAATTATTGTTAACTTGAAGAGTAGAATGTGTAAAGACCATATGAAGCCTAAATGTCAGATGGTACAAAACACAGACATGAACGTGTATGTGTGCAGTTGTGCGTGTGTGTGGTGTTTTGAGATGCCACAGTGCATTTCGCATATAAACACTTAATGTGCTCCCTGTGAAAAAGATGCTCTGCTGTAACTACAAGCTAGCAGAGAAATTTAGATACAGAATGTAAAGTTCAAATCAGTCAGTGTGAAAATAAAGGCGTGTGTGTGTATAAAGTCATTTCTAGTTTATAATTCCATGCAGATGCTAACAGCTACAACACACACCCAAGAACCTTCCTTTCTACATGTTTACATGAAAAGTGCACTGTGGTGGTGTTCATGGAATTATTATTATTGTTAAGTATAGCATTACTTAAATCGCTCTTTCGCGATGTGTATATTGGGCTTATGTCACATTAGGGTAATAACTACATGCCCAATTAATTAGTCTTTTAGCACTAACTTTTATACCTCAATAATTATTGTTGTTATTGAAAATGTCGTGTGGTTAATAATTGTTCAGCTCACCATTATTAGACCAGATAGAAATGAAACTATGCAACTTTTTTGATAGTGTCTGAACAAGAGAGAAAAGCAACATGCATATCTGTAAAATCATATGCACTGGAAGGTGCATCCATATCCAAAGGATGAATGCAAGATCATAGCATCTGCTTCCTCTACACCAGTGGTTCTCAACCTTTTTTGCACTGCAACCCAATTTTTACCATGCCAGCTCAGTCACGACCCTATATCAAATATACCGTAGGTTTAAATTAACGCTATGATCAGCCATGCAGTGCAGTCTGTAGTTTGCGCCAATCAATGCCTACAGATGTAATTGGATGTGCCAGTGAATTTTAAATTAAGCATCTGTGGTTTGGCTTCTTGGATTGGTTGGGTGTTCACTAGTTTTGCACTAAACATTTACAGACCGTTTATATAGGTTAATTCTATGATTGGGCTGGGAAATCTGATCGTGGAACAGCACAGGAGCTTTCTGGTTTTAAAATGCTTACATTTTCCACCTCTGCCTTGTGACCCTTTCAGCATTTGCCTCGACCTGAGAATTGCTGCTCTACACAAAGTACTTGTTTGTAACGGTGTCATGCGATGATGATCATGTAACAACTTAGAACATTTTCCTGAATGGGCTGAACAAAAAAAATCTGTTTCTGAATCGATTATTGGAAATTTAGCTTGAAGTCATGAAAAAGTTACGGAAATCAAAAAGTGTACGAACCCTGTACAGGGAGAGCCGCTGCCTGTGTTTTCTGTCGCTGCGATGACCTTGGGCTGCGTTTGGCCCGCTTTGTCGTACCACCCAGAGGTTGTCTGGGGACAGCGTGACCACCATCGCCAGTATCCTGATGTCAGACTGCATCAGATGTAACCGGATGCTCCACATTACCCCACCGGAGCATATTTGGCTTACAGCCCCATTGGGTGAAACCCCCCTCCCCCTTCTACCACCACCACCCTGATTATTCTGTCCCATATTGGTGGCAGCTGGTTTTAAAATGCTTACATTTAACTGGGTCTGTTGTTAACCCTCAACCCCTCTGCCAGATCCTGTTTGTTGAATACTGTCCGCACTGAGCTGTAAGACCCCCCCTGCCGCATCATGGGGTCCTTAGCCACGCTGCTGATGCTGTTAGACAGATACTGTCCCCATGGTGCTATAAGCTCCCTCTTCCTGCAAGCCCTCCCACGCCCCATGGTGAGGTCCTGAGTAGGGCTGAGTAATACACCGCTGTCATAGTCATTACTGCTGTGCTTGTGTGCCACCACATGGATTGCACTATACCATTAACCCTATTATATACCACCCAATAAGTCAATAGCCCTATTATATACCATCCTATTTATGGAAAATAAAGCACTTTATTTTCTTCAAAGCTTCAGTTGTAATCTGAATACTTGTCTTTTATAGTATATGTAACCGGTTTATCTGTGTTGTGTGAATTTTCTATTAACCACACTCTTGATGCCGTGTTTTGATAGCAAATCAACAAATTCAAAATAAACAGATTTTGTGTAATTATACATATTAAACGAAAATAACCCGGTTATGTATATATAGTAGCAAATTAAGATGTTAAACATATTCGCTAAATCAGCATATATGCGCCAGTTCCTTCATGCAAGGCCTGTGGAAAAAGGCAGAACTACTCCGTTAACACTAGAAGTGCCATTTAACAAACCAGTGAACGTCAGACTCCTTTAACCGCCAACATGACGTACTTTGGTGCATGCAGCTCTTTTGTTTGCACTAATGTGTCATTAGTGTTAATAACAGCAGCAAATCTAACGCCTCAGTCAAAAAGCCTAATAGAGTGGCTGCTCTGTCCTGAAATTGTAAAGCTTTGTAAAGTTTTCAAACGCAGTGTGTATTTTTAAAAATGCTACATAAATAGACATAGTTTATTGGTGACTTCCTGTTCATCAAAGTTTGTTTTTTGACAAATCAATTCAGGTGAAACAAAAAAAATGTATGTTTTCAGGGTTGCCAACACACACCTGGAGTGACACTCGTGCTTTCAGATGCTCACAGGAAATCTTATAGCAAATCTGTATTATTCCATTATAAACCTAAAATGAGCTACATGAAAAGCATTGAGGTAGTTTGCAAACCCTACAGACTATTTACAAGGAAATACAACTGCATGTAAAACCATGTGCATGTGTGTGCAGACTTATCTGGAATTGAAAATCTCACTCAAGCCGGCTGACCAAAATTAGCAAACCTGCGTTTTATTTGATATGAACAGTAAAATGCATTTTTCTCTGTTGAAGCAGCTTGTCATTCCATTGGCGTTACTTTTTATATCTTCACTATATGTCACTTTTTATATCTTTTCTTAAAAAGACCTCCCATACCAAACTGTAATAGCAATTAAGGTGTACTTAATATATTCTAAAATATATATTTTTTATTTGCATAAAGGGACTCCTCCCAAAACTTGGAAAAAGTGATACCGTGGTATAATACCGTCATCATCCAAAAAGTGAAAAATACCGTGACGACGATTTTAGGTCATAGTGCCCACCCCTAGTCCTTAGCAAGGCCACTGCAGGACATTTCGCCAATTTAGCAGAGTGAATTCACTCTGCGACCCTGGGATTTGAATTAGCGACTTATCTGGGTTTTTAGGTTATTCCAACAGGTGCTTCTCGAGAAGGTTTCACCTTTGTATAGGAGGGGGGAGCTTTGGCTCTCCTTGCTCCCTCTCTCCAGTGGACTCTCTGCAGATGGCCTGTCAGTCAGCCCTTGTTTACAGACCTCTGCGTTCCGGGGTGGGCGTAACCATGCGATGCCCAAAACGGCTCGGGAATACAGTTGCCAGTCGGTGTCACCCTCTCCGCTGGCATGGATTACTGCGGTGGAGGGCGCACGGGCCCCTCCAGGGCTGCCGGGGTACCAGGCAGCCAGCCGCTTGGCGCCCTAGGTGAGCAGATCAGAAGGCTGGTGACCGCGATCAGAAGGCTGGTGACCGCGATCAGAAGGCTCGGTATCAAACTGCTTCTGCTTTCTCCGTAAAGACGCCGTTAGAGGTGGAGTGTGACAGGAGATTTACAGAGGTTATATTCACGCTTCCAGCTTAGACGCAGATCGTGGTTAGATCTGTTTCCAAATGGCTTTTATTTACGACGCTCTAAATTACCAGGCTGAATTACCCATCGTTTTTGCAGCCCGGAGATTTATTGGCATTGCCCGCAAGGTGGAAAATAGATGAGGTGTTGGCATATGGGAGTGTATTTGGTGCTGTGCCCCACGTCCATGGCTTAAGCTGAAGAAAATCCACCCGATGGTTTAGAGGTGGTGACACCGTGGCCCTTTGGCCGCTTTGGGGATCCTGGGCCAGGTTTTAGCTTAGCGATAGTTGGAGTTGTGTATTTAGGTATGTAATGCACAGTGGGAACTCACTGCTGAGTTTAGGGAGCTCGAGCTGTCTGGGGAATCCCTCGAGACCAGAAAAGCTGCCCCATGAAATTCTGAGTTTCTCACGCTGTTTAAATAGCACAGGGTGGCATGTTTTCTGGAAGGTTTACCCTGACCCTAATCAGACAGAACACAAAGTCCAAACCAGTAAATATGTTTTGTTAGTCCCCCGGAACATGGGTTTGAATTTGCTCTAAATGTAAAAAACAATCAGCGGTCGTTTTACAGTATTAGCGATCATATTGTCAGTGTTTGCGGGGATATTGTACCTGAAAATACTGCTTTTGTGGGCTAAAGCGCATGATCCACTACTGCATGTCTAGTACCTGTGAATTGCTAACTTGCACCTTTTTGCGTCTTCCAGAGAAGACCAAGAAGGAGATGACGGCCAAGGGTTCGAGTGGCATGGAGGTGATCTTGGCCGCCCTGGAGGTGAGTGTGTTCTCAGCCACGCGCTGAAAATAGCCCGGAGCACCGTGTGCCAGTCCAATGGTGACTTCTACACATAACGGCGCCTGCCGTGTAATGCAGGGGCTCCCTCATTTTGTTAAAGGAAGCACACACCTGAGCAGATTGATCTCAGATCAGGTTGTCAGCTTGGGTCCGATGTAGTGTTTGCAGGACGGACTCGTTCTCGTCTGCGTGCGCGCATGTGTGTGACTGAGGGAGGGAGGCTGTTCGTTTCGATACCTCCTTGTGTGTCTTCACGGGCCCCCTGCCTGAAGCTTTTAACCCCCCCCCCCCTTTTTCTTAAGCAGAACATGCAGGACCTCCAGACTGTACTGAACATCCTGTGTATCCTAAATGAACTGGTCTCCGTAGGTAAGGAAATGGTTTTTTGTTTTAGCATTTGGCAAACCAGTGGTGAGCAGAATGCCTTGACCCATAAAGGTTATGGTAAACCAGTAGGAGGCTTGCTAATTATTATCCATCCATTCACCGGCCAGCTTCCCATCAAACGCAGAGTATCCGGGGTTATCCTTCTCAGTTATGCTAGTTCATAATTCATTAACTGAGATTGATCACTTGAGTAATTGTAAATGTATATGGCTGGAGCTGCAGCGGCTAATGAAATGAAAACACCGAGATCATTCTCACTTCTCCTCCCTGTGCATCATTTCCAGGCCCCCCACAGCCTTTCTTACCCTCTCTTTCTCTGCTTGGTTTTCCTGTTCAGTTCCGTTTTCCCACTGTTACCTGTTGGGACATTGCTCTGTCGGTGCTTGGAGACCTGACTACTGGAAGACTTGCATTTTGTTTTCCCCGTTATTGTCTGGCAGGCGGGGGCAACAGGGTGGGAGTGCTGGTGTCCAAGGGGGGGACGGCCATCCTGCTTCAGCTGCTGCTCAGTGCCAGTAAGGATGTCCCTCCCAGCGAGGAACTCATGCTGCAGCTTCACTCCATCCTCGCCAAGGTGGGACCCAAAGGTACGAGAGGGTCGTGTCCTTCCTCCGTGGAACAGGAGGACTGTGGTATGTGCCCTGATGGAACAGGCACTGTCTCCCTCTGGCGGACATCAGCTTTGCCCAGATTAGCATTACCGCTAATATCTCAAAGCAGGATTTCTTGCTGAGCCGGATCACTTGTCAGATTTAAGGTACCCCAGTTTAAATGGACATTATCTTTGTTCACTTATATTTAGCTCAGGCTACTTTAACTCCAACAAGTTAAAGGCAAAGGAAGAAATTCTGCTTTTGTGATACAGGCCCCAGGTTTGGTGTTGCCTAATTGGACAGACACTGCCACCTAGTGGTTGTGATGAGGTAACTGCTACATTTGTGTACCTAGCCATCCCTTTTAAATAGAGATGCACCAATCTCAGATCGGTATCAGGACTGATCCAGACCTATTAAACAAATCGGGTTTCCCCCTTTGCTCATGAACCATCTCCTTCATGCAGACAAGAAGTTTGGCGTCAAGGCGCGAGTGAACGGAGCCCTCAACATCACCGTGAACCTCCTGAAGCAGAACTTACAGAACCAAAAACTCCTCCTGCCTTGTTTACAGGTTCTCAGGGTCTACTCCAGCAACAGTGAGTACTGCGGCTATTGGGAGCCTTGCTGAACACCAGTGGTCCATGCCGACATGAGAGTGCTCGAGCCTTTAGTCTCTTTCAATGTTTACATACTTTGCATGTCTGCAGCGTGCCTTTATCTATGTTTTTAACATAGACCCCGTGTGCGTTGACGTAGACCTTGCATGTTACTGTTGACCTGCAGTGAATTAATATAGACGCTGAATGTTAACATAGACCTTGTGTGTGTTTTGATGTAGATGCTGTGTATTTTTAGTCAGGCCACTAATAGTGTACTTTCATTCATCCAGCGGTGAACGCAGTGTCTCTTGGGAAAAACGGTGTTGTGGAGCTTCTGTTTAAAATAATTGGGCCATACAGTAAGAAGAACACCAGCATTCAGAAGTACGTGCTAAAAGTGTGCTAAAGTGTGTGTGTGTGTGTGTGTGTGTGTAGGAGAGATTTACACTCATCTGTAAGTGCAACTGGGTTTACGTGTGATTGATTGTGTGTGTGTGTGTGTGTGTATGCGCCCACACAATGCCCCCATAACGTGATTAAATATCAATTTTTTTTCCCTTATGGGAACCGGTTTTATAAAAATCAGTGACTGCTATGAAAAAACTAAAAATGCAAAAACTCTTGTATTTTGCTTGGTTACTTATGGTTATGGTTAGGGCAGGGTAGGGGTGAAGGTTGTCATAGTTAGCGTTAGTATTTTTCACATAGAAGTGAATGAGCGGTCCCCATAAGGATAGGTATACCCGGCGTGTGTGTGCGTGTGTATGTATGATGTTCAGTGCCATGCCCAGGCCCTGGCTGTTATTAAGTGTCCCTCTTTGTGTTGACAGGGTGGTGCTGGACACATTGACAGTACTGCTGAAATCCAGTGAGTCTGGAACAGGGACTTTTTCCAAATTGATGATTTCCAAAGCTCCTCAGTGGCGCACATCTGTGCTTCTCTCTGAATTTAATCAGACTCTTCTGTTTGTTTTTCGCCCCCATGCGTGGGCTTATTAGCGTTTAGCATTGTAGCTCTGTCAATAAAGGGTTTGTTTCTCTAACGAGATCATTGATGACATTGGGTACCGGATTTTTGGGTATGGACTTATTACTGTGGCAAGTAAATAAACTTAAAAATATGTGATACACTTTTAACAGCAAATAGATTACGTTGTGCTTTCTGTAAGGTCTCTGCTTGATTGCCCCCACCCCCCCCCCCCCCCCGCTGTCCCCAGAAGCCAACTCCCGCCGCGCTGTGGACCGGACCTATGTTCCTGCCCTGCTGACCATCTACCAGGACTGGCACCGTAACGACACAAGGCACAGGCATGCCCACATCCGCAAGGGCATCTTGGGATGCATCCGGAATGTCACCAACATCAAGCTGGGCCGGAAGGCCTTCCTCGACGCTGACGGGATGAGGATTCTCTACAGCACATCCACCGTGAGCATGAGCAATGCACACTTTCTTTTCTCTTCCTTCCTGGGTGTAGATTACCTTTGACCTTTAACCTTTGATGCAGGAGTGCCTTCCCGTGCGGACGCTGGATCCCCTCGTCAACACCTCCAGCCTTATCATGCGCAAGTGCTTCCCGAAGAATCGACTGCCCGTGCCCACCATCAAGAGCGTCTTCCAGTACCGGTTGCCCCATGTACCCGCTGAGGGGCCCGTGGCCCAGCTGTACCGGCAGCCACCCGAAGGTAGGGGGCGCTGCACAGCTCATTAAATGAGTACTCACCAAGGAACTGCTCCTGTGACTTTCTGCGTGATGTCAGGAACTCAAACCATGTTTGAGTGTCTGTTGTCCAAAAGACAACAGTCCAAATGATTATTTTCAATGCTGCTCTTGAACTAGCTAATCGGTCACTGGTAGGATTCTGTGAATCACACTGGTGGGCATATGTCTCGCAGTCCTGTTTGCGTTCTCTGGCGCCCCCTTTCTTTCACTCAGAAAAGCCTTTCAGCGCTTCAGCCCTGAAATCATTCTCTGTCTTTCAGCATGGACTCTCTGCCTGCTGGATGACACAATGATACAGTAGAAATCCAATATTAGCCTGACACTGTGCACCCAGCACATCAGAGAAATATACAGTTAGGTTACACCCTGTGTTCCCACTGCCCTTCTGCTAAGAGCGCAGACCGGCACGCAGTGCTCTGGGGGATGCCCGCTCGTGGCCAGCACTGACCCCAGAGTGACCTGTCCCTGTGTCTCTGCTAGTGGATGACGTCGTCGATGAGAGCGATGACAATGATGACGCCGACACTGAGAATGACACGGAGAACGAAGAGGATGACAGGGATTGCTGTTTGCAGGTGCCTTGCCTTGCTGTTGTACACATTGCCATGCCCCCCCACTGTGACTCCACCCACAACCATGGCCTCACTTGTAATGACCTTCCTCCTTTGATCTGCCAATTTCCATCACCGTTTATTTTCAAGGCATGTTAACTGAACATTGTTACAATAAGTAGGAGCTCTCCATTGAGTTTTGTGTATGTTTTTGTGTAGAGAACATTTCCAATTAGCTATGAAATTTGTAGCAAACAGAACTGAACAGAGAAATGTTGTTTCCGAGCTTCTGTTTTGTTGAAAGAAAAGTCACAGTAAGTCTAAAATCTCAGGTAATGCTGGGATAAACTCTCCGCTGTGTAGGAGGTGAGCCAGACCCTCAGTCGTCTCCAGTTAAAAAGCTAAGCTTAGCTAGAGTACCCTCTCCTGTGTGAGTCCACATGAGTGGTGTGTAGCTCATATAGCTGTAGTGACATCACATTGATTTAATCACCTGACCTTGTCGTCAGTGCCCCGTCTCACCATCTCTGACACCCTTTTCATCACCCCACCGCTCATGACCTCTGGTCCCGGCACCTCAGTCCGCACATACTCACCCTGCACCAGCGTCGGAAATTAGCTGAGGCAAAGGGCAAAACTGCCCCAAGAAATCTCAAGATGTCTCTAAAAACCATAATACACATCCATACAAGCAGTGCTGTTGTTCACACTGTGTACTATGCCATGGGCCCCTGTGGCTCCCGCTTACCCGTGACATGGGCCCCTGCGGCTCCCGCTTACCCGTGACATGGGCCCCTGCGGCTCCCGCTTACCCGTGACATGGGCCCCTGC